GTAGTAGTAGGCAGTAGTAGGTAGTAGTAGTAGTCGTCGCCGTCGTCGTCGTCGTGGTGGCGGTGGTGGTGGTAGTAGTCGTCGTCGTATAGTCGTAAGTGATAGTTGCGGTAGCATTCAATTGCAACAGCAGTGGCATCCGTCGTCGTCGTTATCGGAGGCGTCTTTGCCGCGATGATGGAATTGATACCCTTGTCGTGATCAGGACGGTCCTGCTGCTCCTGCTCCACCTCGGTGATCGGAGGCTCTGCAGTCGAAGAGCTGGATGGAATGCGAGCAGGCCTCAGGCAGTGATGCACACATACGTCTACGTTACGTATGTTACATGGGTACATACATACATGGATACATGGATACATGGATACATGGATACATGGATACATACATACATATATACATACATACATACATACATACATACATACATTACATTACATTACATTACATTACATTACACTACATTACATTACATTACATTACATTACATGACATACNNATGGATACATACATACATATATACATACATACATACATACATACATACATACATTACATTACATTACATTACATTACATTACACTACATTACATTACATTACATTACATTACATGACATACATACATCAGTCAGTACAGACTCACGGTGAACATATCAGCACTACTGACAACAACCGTTTATGATGATGCACACTATACTTATATACATACACGCGCATATCATGGACATAGATATACAACTTACAGACACAGAGAAGATTCAGTGCACCACTAGCTGTAATACGTACGCATACATGGCACAGCTGAGCGTAACTGAAGTCGTATTGCGTCTTGAGCAGACATACATATTATATCTTATATCGAACTGGCATGATCCTAATATGCCACAAGCCGTAAGCATAATCTAGTACACTGATAGAACCATGTGTGCTTGATATGTCCGACAAGATCTGGCTTGCCTATATATGTTGCGCTGGTTTCAGAGCATTTTACGTAAGACTAGCCTGTGCCCCAAGTAGTGGCCGAGCAGCTGCCCCGGAAGACCCATTCTTGAGCTCGTGCGCTGCATGGGCTTCCTTGACAGCGACTTCTCCGCCGCGACAGCGACGGGAGGCGCTGCCTCCTTCGGATCTTCCCGTGACGCCATCTTGGGCCACGTGGGGGGAAGACTCAGTCGCTCTGGCCAGCAAATGCGAAGTGTCAGAGCTCTGTCTAATCAAATGCTGCATGCTTAACGGCTTTGCTTTCACTCACTAGCCACTCTGCTCAGCTGAAACAGCTGCAGAGAAAGGTCAGGCAAGCTATCCAACCATGTCGCACACGTTCCTGGCTTTGCCTCACCTTCCAGCTTACCCTGCAACGGCATCCGGGCATATCCGCGCGCTAAGTGGGACTTGACACTCTGCTATAGCCAAGAGTAGTCATGACGCAACTTATAACTCAAAATGATCAAGACTCGCTCTGCCTGCCACGACGACATCTGACCTGCAGGAGCATAGCAGGAGTTGCATTGCATCTGCTGAGCGACCGCATCGGGGGTCTACAGATCCTCCTGATGCGCTTCTTGATGTCCTCAACCTTTCTTGATTCATCGCATGCCTGGAAAGAAGATCAGCACCAATGCATGGCCAGGGCACCAACCACTACTCTCGATGCTTAGGTTGAGGGTTGGAGTGCTGTCTTACGAGGTCCGGGGGTGATCAATCGACTTCGTACTGGTCCTTGTCCGCCCCTTATTAGGCCACTACAATGAAATCTAAAGCTTCTCGGACTGGGGGGAACAGCCGCAACTTTGATCAACATTGTGGCTCCGTGGCTTGAACATCATGCCTGTGTACTACTCGAGCCAGGCACAGCAGGTTCGTTGACAAGTGCACTCAACACATCTTGGACGTCTGCCCAGCTGAGCGTCTGAAGGACTTGTATGGACAAGCTCAGGGTGTCTGAGACAGGACAGCTGTCCCCGCGACGCCTACAAGTCACAAGATCGATCTTCACGCTACACTCGGAGATTCGGAGAAAGACATCGAAACGGTCTCAAAGGAGTGCTGACGGAAAGCTAAGGACCAGTACAACAGTAGCAGATTCGGGGCGAGTGGAGAGCCAACGCCCTTTTTGCTGCTCGCCACTGCTCGCATCGCCCGGCCCGGGCAATGGCAGTGAAACCCTACCGGTGCACTCTGCTCGAGCTGTGCTTTGCAGCCGAGTCCAACCCCAAAGATCCCATACAGACTTCCTGTGCGTGGCGTAGCTTTTCTGTGGTGCCTTGTGCGCCCAGTAGTGCAAGGCCACCTGGCAAGCAAGACTGACAATATGAATGATGCGGTAGCAGGCAGTGAGCCACTTCCCTGCAGCTCCAACATTAGCAAAACCAGCCTTTTAAATCAACACTGTGTTTCTCAGCGCTGGTACGAGTAGCGCGGCCCGCCCTTGCAGGGCGGAAGGAACAGGCGGGCATTAAAGGGCGCAGGCTCGCAGATTGCGAGCCCCTCGCCGTCCGCGACGTTTCTTGGGCCCATTTTCCCAAGTCGCTGCGTTTTCGCAGCCGTCGGAAGGACTACTTCTTCGGAGGCCTCGAGCAGCTTTGGCTCAAAGGCCCAGCCGTACACGCGAGCGACAGTGTTACAGGGCTCATTTCAGCGGCTTCTTGGGATCTCGAGGCATCGGCCTTCCGGGCCAAACGTTCGAAGAGACCGAGTACCCGGACATTGTGGCCCGGGTGTACGACTGGGCCTTCGAGCCAAAGCTGCTCGAGGCCTCCGAAGAAGTGACTCCGACGGCTGCCGGAGTGACTTGTGCGCAGGATCTAGCAGCTTTGGCTCGATCGCCCAGTCGTACACCCGGGCCACGATGTCCGGGCGACTCCGATTCCTCGAAGGTCTGGCCGGGAAGGCCGATGCCTCCAAAGGAACATGCCAAGGAAGCCTTTGAAACAAACCCCGAGCCGGACAAGTCTTGCAACTTCGGCGCACTCCAGGCGCAGGATGCTTGTGGTGGATCTCAATACCGATGTGCTAGGCTTGCTAGGCTTGCTTCGTCGGAAGCACGGCCGCAGTTGGAAGGCAGAAAAGGGCAGCCCGCCATGAAAGCGCGCCGGTCCACAGATTGCGAGCCGGCCCATTCGCCGCAGCTGTCGGAGTTATATTTCTTCGGTTCGCATCGAGCATACCATGCCCATTGCAATTCCGTCTCACCCATCGGGGATCCCATTGCAGATTCTGCTGTAGCATCCGTGCATGCGACAGCTCAAGTTTTGCAGTTGCTGCTAACACGTCGGCACGAGGACAAGCAACGTGAGAGTGCGAGGCTCCTCCGTGTGCGCACATGTGCCCCGTGTCGACTCGAAGGTGAGCTTCCTCTCGGTCCTCTCGAACTAGAGATGCCGCTTCCTTCGGATCCTCTCGCGACGCCATCTTGACCTGCTGAGAATCCGTCTCCTGTCCAACCGATGTGCAGCTTCAGGACCAGAGCGTGTGCCTTACATTTTGCGATATTCCCTTCACTTGATGGCGACGGACTGAGCTGAAACATCTGCAGGTACAGGCGCAGGCCCGCGAATGGTGACCTGCCGAAACCCATAGCCTACCTTCCAACGAGTCACATGCCGGCCATGAAGCCTTGAGCAGGAGAACGTTTGCATCGTCCCTCTGTTACGGAGCTCCTTGAGGAGAGAAGCAGAAGGGAGACTGGTCTCCAACGGCTCCAGCTCTGACTTACTCGTCTTCATTGTGGGACCGCACCATACCACACCGCAGCATACTATACTACACTATGCTATACTATACTATACTATACTGTACTGTACTGTACTATATACCATATATATATATATATGTCTTATACCATATACTAGATACTATGAACTATACTGTACTTCACTAGACAAAGCTGAACTAGACTATACTAAGCTATGCTCCACTACACCACAGGTAGTAAAAAGAGCAGCGGAAGCAGATACTCTGATGAAGCTGTAATTTGCAGAGCCGCCCAACCCCAAAGATTTCGATCATCCCCCGCAGACTTCCCGCGCTGCCTGCAGATGGCTATTTCTGTTGCACCTTCTCCGCCCAGTAGTGCAGGGCGGCCTGGCAAGCAAAACTGACAATGTGACAGCGGGGAGTGAACTGCGTTCCTGCAGCTAAAGCTAGAACGAAACAAGCGTTTTAAACGAAAACTGTGTTTCTCCGAAGCTTCGGTTATAGGGGGGCCCCTGCTTTGCAGGATCAGCAAGCCCCCTCAACCCGAGGTGAGATCGTGCGTGCCAGCACCAGCCGAGACCCCGCAGAGCAAATGGGTGTTTGTTGAAACTATGCCGATGCCCACCCATGCTACAGCATACGCAGCTTGCAGGCTGCTGTCGGTTCTGCTCAATCGCTGCAACTGGACCCATAGAGGCTTCTGTCCATAGGAAGACCCTCTCATGGCTGGCACGAGTGGCGCGGCCCGCACTTGCCAGGCCGAAGGAACCTGCGGGCACTAAAGGGCGCGGGCCCGCGGATTGCGAGCCCCTCGCCGTCCCCGACATGTCTCGGGCCCATTCGCCCAAGTCGCTGCGTCTTCGCAGCCGTCGGAGCCATTTCTTCGTCGCAGGCCTCGAGCAACTTTGGCTCGAAGGCCCAATCATACACCCGGGCCACAATGTCCGGGTAGTCAGATTCTTCGAAGGTTTGGCCGGGGAGGCCGATGCCTCGAGATCAGACATGCCGCAGAAAGCCCTCGCTAACAGACCCTGAGCCGGACAGGTTTTTGCAACTTCGGCGCACTCCAGGCGCAAGGTCAGCCTTTGTCCCCGTACCTGCTCACAGGGACACTAATTTGTAGTCGTACAATGCCCGGTTCCGTTTCAGAAGCATCCATGCATCCGAAAGCTCTGGGTGCGCAATTGCTGCTGACAAGTCGACACGTCAAGACACCCAGATACAAAAAACTGCTAGAGTGCTAGAGCCCACATCATGCACCACTGCGCCTTCTCGACACGAAGGTTGGCCAAGTTGCCACCCTCTTTCAGGAGCTTCCTGGAGTGCGACGCAAGGCGGATCCACAAGCAGCACGCAGGCTCGAAAGCCAGGCCCGAAACCGACTAAGTTACAGTTAAAAACATGAAGCACCGCAAGCCTGTCCTGGGCACCCCCTTCACATGCTTCCAGCGAAGCAGGCCTAGGACGTCCGCATTGATGTCCACAAGGAGTCCTTTGGAACAGCAACGCGATTATGATTACGAAGCAAAAACACATCAGCCAGCTGTGGCGGTTGCTACCACGCAAACCAGCATGTTGCATGTAGATGCGCATCCTATCTGCAACTTCCACCGCCCTGTGAGACCCCTTCGTCGTCCTTTCCATTCAACGTACCAACAGTCACATGTCCAGGTTCGCTAACTTTGGCACAGTTATTGGAATGAGAGACGGCCCAAGTGCAGGCGAGTAGCCCAATTTGAAGGCTATGACAATTTTACCTGGGCGTGTCGACATCGCTTCCTCTCAAAACGGAATAAGCGGCGCTTGGCCGCGGTCGGTCCCTGCTCCATTTCGGGGGTGGTATGAGCGCAAGCCAGTCACCCTCGTAGAGCTTCTCCGTGGACAGCTGGCTCAAACAGAGCGGAGCTTGCTGCTTAACGCCGCCCGGCAAGCGAGTTGCCGCTTCCTGTGACAACGGCACACTCGAGATGACCCAAGTCCCACAGCTGCAAACCGCCTCCGGCCTCCGCTTTCTGTTCAGCCGCCTGTGCTCTGGCCGCGTCGACGGCGCGCAGGAAAGCACGGTTGGCCAGCAGGCCGTCCGAATTGCTGGCCGGCATCTGCTGGAACCTGAGAATTGAAAACTCCGGTCCATGTAGCTTTCGACAGGAATCTCGGAGGCCGCGAATGGTACCGAAAAGGGGTAAGCCGAGGCACGAGAGGCACGATGATGGCATCTGCACCTGCGAGGCATGCACGAGGCGGGAAACTGCCTCGTGAGCAAACTGCTCAACGCTCGGCTCGGTCAGTGCAGGAACGACCGCTGAAAGAGAGGCCGAAGCCTCCGAAAAGCTCTTGGGGAAGAAGAAGATTTCTTCCTCCTCGCAAAGGCCAGAGTGGGCGAGAACCACGCAAGCCTATGTAGTGTTTCTTGAGATTTGACTGTGCGGTGTTAGGTAGTTAACGCACGTTTGTACTACTCTATATTGTGGATATCTTCAACGTCTACAGATGCCTCGTATGTGAGCCCCTCTGTCTCACCAGCATACATCACGGGCCATCCCCACACACAAACACACATGCAATCATCAAGAGCAGTTCGGACGACAACAAAGTCAACAAAGCCGTTGCCTACCTACGCTGGCACATACTCGGACATAGACTCACATAGACAGCATTAAGAAACCAACAGATCATTGGTCACCCTGATGTCGTTATTGTGTGGGCCTGCATCGGAGCACTGTCAGGGACCATGCGCAGGAATGGCACGATCCCATCAGAGTTTGCCCGGATCGGCCCAGGCCCTTCAAACCTTGGACGATGCATTTCACGAATCTGACGCTGCAATCAAAGGTCGAAAACGAGCTGCTTCCTGCCAAGGAACGACGAAGCGCGCGTCATGGGCACCATCTGTCAGGAGAGATCAAATGAGGTCTCAATGACCAGCTTTGCTACGGAGAGAACGGTGGCACACGGAACGGCACGCGGAACAAGAACTGTGACAACACGGGTCGGTCTATAGAAGAAGATCACAGGAGAAAAGCAAGCAGCAGAGCAGAAACAACGACAAGTACCACCACTGCCGCTCAGGCTGCGAGTGTCATCGTGCGTTGTTTCTTCTCGGTTTACCTTTCGTTCATGGTGCGGGTCCTCTGTTTCGCTTGCGGCTTGTATCTCCCGGCCCATGAATGCTCATAACGACACATATCACGCAAAGGTCACGATGCGCAGCAATCGCTATCTGTCATCAGACCCTTGTTGCAACGACAACGTCAATTTACGATGGATATTCGACAGACTGCACCAACATCTAATGCTGCTCCTCCTACGGCGACGACATGATCACAAAGGATATATACATGTACCGCAGTTGGTGCATTCAACACTAAACTCGATGCTGGCACTAGGCTGGCCTATTGATGATACTTGGGAAAACGCTGGTATGGTGATGATCGTGGCTGTGGCGGTGCCGCTGCCGGCCATGACTTCTACGCCATGCTAGACTCTAGACTCTAGACCAAATGTGGTTTATGACTACAGTAGCTCCTGCATGCTGCCGTGGCAGTAGCTGCTGGTGCCAGGTTCATGCCATGTTCCTGCACTACGCTGAACTACAGCCAATTGTTCGATTGACACTGCGAGTAAGTCAACTTCGGCCACCCGCGGCGCCAAAGGGCCTCACTGTAGGCCTTCGGCATGAAACGCATAGGCATAGGTTGGTCCTGTGGCCGTTGCTGCGGGATCCGACTTGCAGTTCAGGAGGTGTTTGGGGCCATGTTTCGTCGCTCCCCCACACAAGTGCGCAAACCCAAATAAGCCTGCTATGCACTCATTTATATCAACAACAGGACGAAATAAACAAGACCACTACTGATAATGCTACTCATAATTTGCGACGTTGTCTTCACTCCCTTTCCCGTTATGCTTGCTGCTTGTTTGAAGCTGCCTGGCTCGCACAATTTAACTGTTCTAACTGTAGCCATGCTTGTCGTCTGTCTTGTGTTCACAGTCGTATGTTTAGTAGCAGCAGCAGCAGAAGTAGCAGTAGCAGCAGCGGGAGCAGGAGTCGCAGACGGAGTCGGAGTATTAGAAGTAGACATACAGTGACATGCACACACACATACAAGTGGTAGTAGAAGTAGTAGTAGTAGTAGTAGTCGTCGTCGTCGTCTTCGTCGTCGTCGTCGATGTAGCATCTCAGAAATAGTAGTAGTAGCAGAAGTAGTAGTAGAAGAAGAATAATAAGTAGTAGTAGTAGTAGTAGTAGTAGTACTAGTAGTACTAGTAGCAGTAGTAGTAGCAGCAGCAGCAGGAGTAGCAGCAGGAGTAGTAGTAGTAGTAGTAGTAGTAGTAGGTAATGTTGTAGCAGTAGAGGCAGTAGCAGTAGCAGTAGTAACAGCAACAGTAGCAGTAGTAGTGGTGGTGGTGGTGGTAGTAGGCGTGGTAGTAGTAGTAGTAGCAGTAGTAGTAGTAGTAGTAGTAGTAGTAGTCGTCGTCGTCGTCGTCGTATAGTCGTATAATTGTAGTAGTGGTAGCAGTTGCAGCAGCAGTGGCATCCGTCATCGTCGTTATCGGTGGCGTCTTTGCCGCGATGGTGGGATTGATACCCTTGCCATGATCACGACGGTCCTGTTGCTCCTGCTCCACAACTTGCGTGCTCGGAGGCTCTGCAGTCGAAGAGCTGGATGGAATTGATGGAATGCGAGCTGGCCTCAGGCAGTGAGTGATGTGATACGTGCATCATACAAACACAAACATACATTCGCGCCTGCCTACCTACCTACCTACCTACCTACCTACCTACCTGCTTACCTACCTATGTATGTAGCTATGCTACATAGATACATACAGACATACATGCATACATACACATACATACATACATACATCAGTACGGACGGTGAACATATCACAACTAATAACGACAACCTTGCATTATGGACATAGATATACAACATACAGACAGAGATAAAATTCAGTGCGTCACCGAGGAAGCTGCAGTATGTACGCATATATGGCACAGCAGAACGTAGCTAAACTTGTAGGCAACGAGATCGGTTAGATGACCTTGCATGATCGTATATGCCACGAGTCGTAAGCATCATCTAGTACACTGATAGAACCATGTTTATTTTTATACGTCTGACAAGATCTGGCTTGCCTCCTGTTGCACTGGTTCCAGAGCATATGTAAGACTAGCCTGTGCCCCAAGTAGTGGCCGAGCAGCTGCCCCGGAAGACCCATTCTTGAGCTCGTCCGCTGCATGGGTTTCCTTGAAAGCGACTTCTCCGCCGCGACAGGAGGCGCTGCCTCCTTCGGATCTTCCCGCGACGCCATCTTAGGCCACGGGGGGCAAAGACTCAGTAGCTCTAATCAGCAAATGCGAAGTGTCAGAGCCCTGTCTAATCAAATGCTGCATGCTTAACGGCTTTGCTTTCACTCACTAGCCACTCTGCTCAGCTGAGACGGCTGCAGAGAAAGGTCAGGTAAGCTACTGTATCCAACGATGTCGCACGCATTCCAGCTTACCCTGCAACGGCATCCACGCGCTAGGTGGAACTTGAGACCCTGCTATGACCAAGAGTAGTAATAAGGTAATGCTACAGCCAAGAGTAGCACGACCCAACATTTTCAAGACTTGTGCTGCCTGCCACGACGACATCTGACCTGCAAGAGCACAGCGGGACTCGCTTTGCATCTGCTTAAGAGGGACCGCATCGGGGCTTTTACAGATCCCCGTGATGCGCATCTTGGCATCCTTCACCTTCCTTGATTCATGGCATGCCTGGAAAGAAGATCAGCAGCAATGCATGGCCAGGGCACCAACCACTACTCTCGATGCTTAGGTTGAGGGTTGGAGTGCCATCTGAATCTTACGAGGTCCGGGAGTAATTAACGAATTCGTGACAGTGTTTGCCGCAACAATGACAACTAAAGCTTCTGGGACTAGAGGGACTGGCCGCACCATGGTGGCTCGATTTGAACATCATGCCTTTCTATGCGAGCCATCTGCGAGGCGGGTTCGTTGGAAAGTGCCATCAACGCATCTTGGACGTCTGCCCAGCTGATCGTCCGAAGGACTTGCATGGACAAGCTCAGGTTTATTTGACACAGGTCAGCTGTGCCTGCCACATCTACGAGATCTTGATGCTACACTCCGTGCAAGACATCGAAGCTATATCAAAAGAATGCTGACGGAAAGTTAGCGACGAGTACCACAGCTCGCGTCAGCAAGGGGGCAGGTTCGCGGCGAGGGGGTTCCGCAGAGAGCGCCAGCTGCCTTTCTATTCTCGCCATTGCTCACATGGTCCGTGCAGGGTGGCCGTTCTTTGGGCAACACAGACGATGATTTAAAGACTTGGCTGGGCAAGGCACTGCCCACAGCTGCCTGGACCCCTGGCACCCTAAGTCTACCTTCCAACGAGTCACATGTCGGCCATGCAGCCCTGGGCAGGAGAACATTTGCATCGTCCCTCTGTTCCTCTCCCCAACTGATGTACCATCCAAGCTCCATCTGAAAGACCAGCCGAAACCTGAGAAGCTGCGGAGAGAGAAAAACAGAAGGAGTGGTCATTAGCATTCCCCTGCCGGAGGGAGTCTGATCCAATGGCTCCAGCTCTGACTCACTCGTCGTCGGAAGAGCCTCACTTGCAAGTGTGAGTAGTTGGATGCTCCACATTGGATTGGGTTCAGCATGTGGCACTGTCATGTCATACCATACTCGAGCATACCCTTCCAAAGCACACCAGCTTCTGCTACATTACACTACTGATTGGTTTTTGTAGCCAACACATTCATGCTTCACGTACAATCTCCTTATCGAAATTCTATCGTGGCCAGTATACTACGCTTTACGTAATGTATTGAAATCCGGATATTCAGGGAAAAAGTCTTTGAGGAGCTGAGCTGCGGGCCGTGGCGGTTCACCCCCAGGAGGCGCGTACCTGAAAGTCCGGGGTAACGATAGAACCCATGGCCTGAATCTGTGCTCTTGTGTTCATACTCGTTGCGGCTCAGGGTTCAGTTCTTCGGATGGATGGGCTCATGGACTAATGGGCTTGCAGATGAGGGCCTATAGCGCCTAGGGGACCATGACGACGAGGAAGAGCGCGCATGAGGACGACCGCCCGGCAACAGCAAAACGGATTCGAGTTCAGTAACCATCTGCACACCCCAGCATCATTGCCATCGGCGTCGGAGCATCTCTGGTACATTTTGCAGCTCCTGGGCCCCCAGCTCTGCTCGAGCTCCTCATCGTCGAAGAGCTTCTCCTAAAGAATCGATCGGGGCCTAGCGCGGCTTGAAGTGAAGGTTGTAAGGTCAAAAGAGGGGGGGGCTACTAGAGGGGTAGAGCCCTAAACTTTGCAGAAACAACTCTCGAAGAGCCTCAGAAGCTCAACTCAAAAGCCTTAAACCCCCTAAAACCCAAACCCAAGACCCCAGGACCCCAAAACCGTAATCCTGAACCCGAAACCCCAATCCCAACACCCCAAAATACTAAACCTAAACCCTAAACCCTAAACCCTAAACCCTAAACCCTAAAACCCTAAACCCTAAACCCAACAGAGGGTCCTTTCGCCCGGGCCGCCTCCCTCTCGGCCGGCCTCGGGAAAAAAAGTTGGGGGAACTTTGGGGCGTTAGGGGTTCGAGGTTGAGGGGTTTCGGGTTGTGGGGTTTAGGGATTCTAAGGGGTTTAGGGGTTTAGGGATTAGGGTTAGGGTTGAGGGGTTTCGGGTTTTGGGGCTTAGGGGTTGGGGGTTTAGGGGTTGGGGGTTAGTAGTTTAGGGTTTAGGCTTTTCGGTGCCTTTGTGGGCGTGGCTTTTCCAGAAAGCCTAAAAGTGCGTTATTGGCTTTCTTTGAGATACGGAGGGAAAAGGCTGGAGCGAACAGGGGACCTTGGAACCGGCAAACTACAGGTCGTGAAACGCGCCTCTGCAGCAACAATGCTCAAAGATTCTGGGTGCGGGGGTTATCATTTTGCAGGTGATGCCTGCTGCTTTCTGCTCCTACAGCCATTGCACTAAGCGCCGACAACGTCGGCATCGCAAGTGTGGCCACTGGTTGAAGTTAGTCACAGTCTTGCCGAGGCTTGCGCTAGATTTAGCTTGTCAAGGCAGTGTCACTGTCATGCAACCACGTTCTTGAGACACCAGACGAGGTCCATGCTGCAAACTCAACCGCATCTCAGCGGTGACCTCCCCGCCGTGTGTACGTACTTGTCTGCACATGCGTGCAAGGCTTCCAGGCACTGCTTGTGGTGTTGAGAACATGCACGATTACATACGACTACATTTATGACCCGTCTTGGTCGCTACCGGTTCCGATGACGTCTGATCCACCCAGACACGTCTTAGTGTGATTGTAGCAGTCCTCGCGAATTCTCAGTGTCGCAGTAGAAGAAGTCAAACTGACAACTTACTCATACCACTTCGAATCCTACGTCCTGCTAGCCTTCAGAACCCAGTCCCTCGGCAGAATTCCGAGTTGCCCGCGGCTGCTGCCATGGCCTTGCTTCAGCAACGACAGCGGCAAGACTTCGTATGCGAGTGTTCTGAAACGTTGGTGCTGGCTTTTGAACTTCGGTATCCCGTGCTCGGTATGGTGTGATTGTACCAGCTTTATCGTGCTGCTGTCCACCCTCTCGCAGACTGATGCTGGGTGCTGGACAACACACAAAGCAGAAGCAGGTGCAGAGGACGAAGACCGCCACGGCTACGACAACACCTGAGCATGCAGGTGTAGATCATGATCAGGCGCCTCGCGGCTACAATTGCAATCTGACTGCATGTGTATAGGTTCAACTTCTGTACTGCGGCCGTGCACTACACAACCTCAACTCACAGCCAGTATCAGCCAATCAAAATAGAAAACGTCATGAGGTTGCCAGCGGTAGTCACTCGGTCACACCGAGTGCTTTTCATAGCAACAGGAATCACGGTGGTTGCAAGGTCTGCCTTAGCACTGTCACGCTTTTCTGTGGTTCATCACCGCAGAATACTAGTACTAAAGATACCCGAGGACCAGATAACTCGATATAACCCATGAGTGCTTTCCCAGGCCAACTAACCCAGAGCTCGTTCAAAATGCGTGTGTCCAAAATTTCAGGTGGAGACTCTGGGAATGATATGGACATCGCGTGCTGGGGTGTTGAGGTCTCTCCAGCTCAGGTGTCTGACAAACTGATCCGATCTGACCTGAAGAAAGAGCAATGTGTACACAAAAGCCATAGGGCACACAGTTGAGCACGAGGTCACTCTAGGGGCAGCTCTGAACTTGGCCAGCTTCTTCAGAAGAAATGCTGATCCGTTCTGTGGGTGGGGCTCGTGCTTCCAATTATCTGGTGTTAGCTCTTTCAACCGGATCACATAGTTCACCGCAAGATGGGCGTAGAGCACATGCATCGACTGCATGCCCGCTGGAAGAACACGTGCTCATCTGCGGAACGTCCGTACTGAAGAAGAGATATGCACATGTAATCCACGAGCAGCCAAATCTCCAGATGCTCGAGCTCCTTTCGAACTTGTCTGACTCCAAATACTTGAGAAGGCCGTATAGTTGGAAGCCCCATTGATCTGGGTGTTGTTGCGACTCCGAGCAGTGTGACATTGTAACGATGCCAATGTAGTGGCTCAAACTTGGCTGCTGGTGGTTTTCCTTTCTTTGGATTCCAGCGCCCGGATTCCAAGTGAAGGTAAAAGCTTCCTATCAGTAATGTAGGGGCCTTAATAATTAGACTAGGGTTTTGGGGCCCACTGTACTATATGATTATAATAAGGAAGCCCCATAATAGCGTAGGTAATTATTCAGGCCCCTATATTGCCAGAGATGCTCCGAAAGCGTCGAGGATTATACTATAATTAATTTCAATTAATAAATATGGAACCCCCAAAATAGTATAGGCAAGTATTCATGTTTCCCAATGCTTCGCAGGTATTCAAGCCGGACCAGCCGGGTGTCGGCATAAAGCCAAAAATCTAGAGGATTGTATGGATCAGACAAATTATACCGCGTTGCACGGGTAACTGAAGCCGTTAGCTGGCTCCGGCTCGTGCTCCCAGTGCCGCAAGTTGACCCAAAGCTGACAGCACCCACTTAAACATGAATGTTCTCTCTCTCTCTCTATATATATATATATTTATTTATTTATTTATTTATATTATACATAGGCAAACACATACTGCACATCTTCACTCCAACCAGCGTGCAGTTCACCACTACGTCGCACCCTCACCCTTACATTGACAAGGCCCTGGTCACGACGCGCCAAGGCCCGCGCCTATCCCTAGCTCGTGCAGATGTATCCGAAGCCTCGGGGACAAGATACGGTACGTTGGAGCCGAAATCGAACGAAAGGCCAGGTGGACATCTGGCTGATCCGAAGAGGAACCGAGACTATCCCAAACGCTGCTGCAGCTTAACCTGTTCGTTGCCGTTTCGATGAAAAGTGCCATGTTTGAGCGTCGAGCACATGGCACTGACCGCCGACATGCTGCAAGAAGTGCAGCGTCTGCCACTGGGAGGGTTTGCACACCTGTCAGGGTTTCATCCGTGGTGATACTGATTCCTATAGTTGCATGTTGTCAACTACTGTAGTTTACACTGGTAGGTACACTGGGGCATCCAATAACTGCGTGTGCTTCTGCTTGGGTTGTGGCGGAGATCGTCTGCCGTGCTCTCTGCATATGACCAGGGTCCGCTCTACTCTGAACAACATTCAACAGCCAAGGAGTTGTGGTGGTTGTAGCAAGAGGCAGCAAGAGCAGCATCAGCAGGAGCAGTAGCAGTAGCAGTAGCAGTAGCAGGAGCAGGAGCAGGAGCAGGAGCAGGAGCAGGAGCAGTAGCAGTAGCAGTAGCAGTAGCAGCAGGAGGAGCATAGCAGTAGCAGCAGGAGGAGCAGTAGCGGTAGCAGTAGGAGTAGTTGTAGTAGTAGTAGTAGTAGTAGCAGGAGGAGCAGTAGTAGTAGTCGTAGTAGTAGTAGTAGTAGTAGTAGCAGCAATAGTAGTAGTAGTAGTAGTAGTAGTAGTAGTAATAGTAGTAGTAGTAGGAAGAGGAGGAGGAGGAGGAGGAGGCGAAGGAGTAGGAAGACGAGGAGCAGCAGCACCAGAGATGCTGGCTGCAACCGTCATCGCCGTCGTCTAGCCGCAGCAATAGCAACTTATGATAGCGTCTTCCATGGAACGGCCTTTATAGACTATCAGCCCTTCCAGTGCGGATGCCTCACACCGCTCGTAGCTGGAGCAGCGCGCGCAGTGTTCGGGACCTTGCCGTGAGCTCGCTGTTTCCGAGGACCTCTGATAGACCCCAGATCCATGCTACCGCACCGCTTGCAAAGGCTTCTATAAGACCTGCACAAGCTTCGCACCGCGAAGACGCATGCCGTGGAAAGTACCTGCGCGCCCCGACTCACATTATGCTCAACAACTCAACAAAATGGTGCCTCGCTGCGCCGCAGGGCACCCGTCGTTGCAGGTCATGGCACAGAGTCGCACATCGGGGGCGTAGAAGGCCCTGCATACGAGGTCCGCCGACAAAGTAAGATGAAGAAACTTGCGAGCATAAATATTCGACTTCCTCCCTCGTCATATACAATCTGCAAAGCCGTCGCTGCTGCGGGGATTTGGCAAAGCACACGGACCAGCCTCTGTGGAGGGCAGGGTTGCCGGAAGGCATGAATGTGATACCTGCGAGAACAGCAGGAGAAGCCGAGAAGCCACAGACTCCATTCCCCACGTTAGAGCAAAGGAGACCCAGCAGAACTGAACAAACCTAAGCAATCATTTCAGATATTCTAGCCTCACCCAGTCTCGGGGGTTTGCCAAGCACTCCTCCTGTCCCCCGATCGAACCAAGGAGAGGCAGCGCACAAGCGGTTGAGCGTGGTGTTGCGATTGGCGGGAAAAACGCGGATCTGGACCAGCCGGGATCCGTTCACCTACGAAGAGCAAGGCAAAGGTCAGAGCCGGGGTTGCATTAACTAAGTTCCTTCGGCAGTTATACATACCCAATATATACGATAATATGTTGCGTAACATTCTGTCTCATAGTTAGAGATTATATATGTGAAGATATGTACACATACATACATACATACATACATACATGCATGCACACATGCATAGAGAATACTATGACAATGACAACAGCCCGGCCTCGACGGGAAAGAACCTGCGTCGCCCACGACATGCACTTACGGCTTCGGGGTTTGAGGGCTGAGGAATTAAGACTCAGCGTTTAGATTAGGGACTTTTCTGCCCGGGGCTCCGAGGTTCTGTGCGTGCGTTTGCCTGACAGAATCAGGCCTCTGCAAGCTGATGTGCTGAGTCTCCCCCGACTGCAGCCTCATGCTGTACTTCGGATGTGTGGGGAGTTCAGCACAACACGCAAAGGTCTGCTAAGCCTAAACCCTATAAACCCTACATCGCTTTCGTCCGCAGACTGCAAACTCTACCCGAGGCTGCATGGGACCTGAGCCTCTGGCAAGCGGCGCCCCTGGGAGAGATCCGTTTGCGCAAGAGAGCAGCCCGGGTTTGCTGTTGGAAGGCCTAAGACTTTAAGAATGCCTGCAATTTCAAGGACATTCTACGAGGCACTATAGAGCACACACAGACCTCCGTCTTATCCGCATGTACACTTCCAAGGCCCTCAAGGCAAGGCACAGACACAAACAACAAAGATCCCAAACCCTGGTGCCACCAAGCCCATGCTCCCCGGGCATAGCGGGCATGCCTTGTTGTTGAGAGCATCTTTGGCTACTACCTGCCAACATATCAGGCCACGATTCTCTCACGAATTTCACGACGATGATGATGCTGAGCGGTGGTCATCACGAATGTGGTGTTGGTGACGGGGATGGCGGTGATGGTGGTGAGGATGGTATGTACAAGCCAACCAGCCAGCAGGCCCAGGCATGCTCCAACACCTAACATAGGCTCCTGATCTTAAAATTATTGTACAATGGGCTCCAACATCCTATCCTAATTATTATTATTGTTATTACTATTCTTATTACTATTACCATTAATATTTTTTACATTACATCTGGCCCACCTGTGTCCTTGGCTTCAAGCTTTCCCCATTGCTGGCCTCCGGCCTTCGCGGGTCAGACCGAAAGCCCTACAATAATAATAACAACAATAATAATAATAGTAATATAGTATAATAATAGAAATTAAGAGTAATAATAGTAATAATAGAAATAATAATAGATAATTATGGCAGCCACAAATCAAAAGCAATTTAGCAACCATGACACGTATAGCGACTGCAATACTTGCGGGTTAGGCACTATTTGTATCTTGTGTGACTCATGTTGGATAGAAGAGGCAGCAGAGATGTGCTTCGGGGGCTAAACTTGTCGATGAAGCTCTTTTTGGGCTTTCAGATTGTGCCTGAGGCAACCAGTGGATCTTCCCCACAAAGTTCGATGCAGGGTTTATGTTCTACTGCGGGGGCCTGAGCCATTAGAATTAAGTAAGATGTGTGCGCTAGAATATAGTGTAACGTTCACTGCACAATAGTGTTGGGCGGTATTCAGACTCATACATTAGCCGATCCACTCTAGACGCGACCTTGTGAAACCAAGACGATGTGGTAGCCCGGTCCTTGCGATGCCTAACAGAAGGTCTAATCTTTCATGTCAGTGCCCTCGAGAGGCCTGGCTCATAAGCCCTCGAGCGAGGTTGGCTAGCAAACGCGACAAGCATGAGGAGGAATGAAGACTCACAACACTGCGCGGCCACTTTGTCGATGAACCTCACTCTCTGAGGGATCGGCCTCGATAACTTCTCCTCGAATGACCTCATGGAGGTTGCTTCAAGACTTTATTGCTCTGCTTGAGACTTCCTGAAGAAGCGCAGAATGAATTCTCGGCAGTCGACGGATCCCAGTAGGGCGCTGCTGTGGTGAACGTCCATCTCGGCTCCTTGCACCATTCTCATGCATCAAACCTTCGGGGGTACACAACAAGCATGTAGAGAAACCTATAGGGCTTCGATTCTTTCAGGGAGTTGAAAGGAAAGTTGCAGTAAGGGTCTTAATCATGGTCTGCGGCGGCTGAGTTTTCAGCATTGATGTGATTGATGTTGTCATCCTTTTTCAACAAAAACCGGAAGCCTCCCACTCACTTCGTCGGGAAATGCTGCTAAGCTTGGCAAAAGCCGAAGACAAGAACGAACGACACGCTCGCAGGTGGCACTGCGCTCAATTTCTGAGGAGCGAACTAGCCTCCACGCTGCATCTGAAAAAAAGCAGCCCAAACACTCATCCCACAGAAGTTCGACGCAGAATGTGAATTGGAATGGGGTCTAGGCGTGTATATTGTGGCATCCTTGTAATAAGCAGCCAGACAACTCTAGCACTTGTACTTGTTTAGGTCCCTATACTATATTACATGACACCCAAACCCTTATACCACCAAAGCTAAGAAGCTGTCACGAAGCACCACTTTTGCGTCTCGCCGGAACGCGTTGCATTAACCAAAGCCCTCCGGCTGGCCAACTACTCTTCGCTACTTGCTGCTAAGGCAAGCTAGGGGGGGTGCTCGAAACTGTAATGCTGAGATGTCTTGAGGGATCTATTTCTAAACCCTAAACCCCTAAACCCCTAAACCCTAAATCCCTAAACCCCTGTCACTTTCACTCTGATTTTCATCTGAGTGGCTGTTGGGGGATGGGGCTCGGGGGTCGGCGAGCAGCTCGTGGCCCCGTCAGCCGAGAGCCCTCGCTCTAAAAGCCTTCGAGGATACATTTGCATTACACTACAGGGTCTTTTCTTTAAGCACCTTTTGCCGCCTACTGGTAGCAGTCAGGGTCGGCAGAATCCGCATCGGTTTAGGGTTTAGGATTTAGTTTAGGGTTTATGTTGCAATATATAGTTGCCATAGGTCTACATGACAGCTCATAACATTACACTGCATTGCATGGCAAACACTCCCACCCACACACATATGCATGTAGCCAATTGCCAATACACAAGAGTACACCCACACAAGCGTATACAAATATTGGCTTTTGTTGTACATAGAATATGCATGTTAATGTAAGTATATGTACATATATATATATACTTATAAATATATATATATATATATGTATGTATATATATATATATGTATGTATGTGTAAAGTCTCATCTTCAGGTGTATGCGTGCGTGTATCCATATATATATATATAGATATGTACATACACACACATACATGTACACATATACTACTCTACACACACACACTCGCACTTAGTATCATGCCCAGGTGCACAGGCATGCATGCAGACAGACCTGTACTCATGCCTACATCTGCTCTATACTCTGTCCTCGTGTCTCTGCCATCATGCAGACTGTTTGTGTAGACAATACCGTATGGATACTATGGGCAGTCCCTCCAATGGCCGCCGGGCATGCAGCAACTTCTTGTTGCTGCACTTTCCCTGGAATTCAGGCTCGGTTTTCGAGGCCTCATCGAATGCCATCAATGGAAGAACCAGGGGTCTTTGTACATGTCCTGGCAACTTCAGGACATTCTGCTGCAAAAGGATTGCTCTCACACGGCGTGCAACAGTGTCGTCTCAGTACGATGATATACATATATATATGTGTATATATATATACATACACATGTATACCTACCTACCTACCTGCCTACCTACTACCTACCTACCTACCTACCTACCTACCTACCTACCTACCTACCTACCTCCTACCCTCCTACCTACCCTCCTACCNNCCTACCCACCTACATACATACATACACTCGTGAATGGCTTCACATGATATGAAGCTTCATGTCTACCTGGAGTCTACCTAGGTGTATCTTGAACTACATTTAGACATATATCAGTTACATATGAATATATATATATACATA